TCAGGAAAAAGAAAGAAAGAAAGAAGGAAAGAAAGTAAGGAAGAAAGGAGGAAGAAAGAAAGGAAAAGAAAAAAATTACTACCTAGATAATAGTGTTGAAAAATTTGCTTTAAGCTGGTTGTCTAGACCCGGAGACCCATTATTTCTGTATGTAAACATCCATAAGTGTGGTTAGAGTTGGCATACAATAACATCATAAACTATCAATGGCATGTACACGTACATGTACACACATACATATACAAAACACAGCAGCCAGCACTAGTAGGAGGTCCCAATAGGATGATGAGAGCTTAGGAGAGTAACTGCTTCTCTTACATAGTATTGGAAAATGCTACTGCCTCATACAGCTACTTAGAATAATTCACCTACTTGAGCAATTGTAGTCAAATTGATACATTTGATGCAGTAAAAAAAACTCACAAAAATGTTCCATGAAGGAGTTGAGAGCACAGTTAATACAGCTTTCTCATGACACTTGTTTTCAGTGAAGCACAGTACGGTGGGAGAAGGAACAACTCTCAGGAATGAATAGCCGTCAAATGTGGAAGGAACGGTGGTAAAAATGGAAGATACTTACTTTGCCACACTCCCAGAGAGAAGTGAAACACTCTCCCAGTCCTGGGAAAATGTTTTTCTGCCCATGGCTTCCATATGGGAGTAATTTCCATCTCCTAATTAAGATCAGATTTATAAATAAAAGCAGAGGAAGGAAGTCAGCCTGACAAGGATATGATACCAAAAAGCCAGAGTAAATGGGAAGCCTTTGAAGGATGGAAAATGAAGGTAGTTGGGTTTGGAAGGAAGTGATTTAATAGGCCTTGTTTTGTCTTGGTTGTTTAGGAATCATTATAGGAGTGTTGCCTAAGTAAGACTCATTAGGGGTTTAGTTATGACATGTTTACATATAGAGAAAAGATCCCCCCTCCACCACGAATTGGCAGTACTCCTGTGGTAGGTTAGGAAAATTTACCTTTAACCTCTAAAGATTATATTGCTTATGTTCTAGAAGCTTCCTTGCATGACTCTTGCATAATAAGATTTTAAGTGATACAAGGCTAAACGTTTTCAACTGAGAATTATGAAATGAAAAGAGAAGAGAAGGAGGAGGAGGAATAGCTTTGGGTATCTGTGCCTTACTGGGCACTGGTAAATGAAACCAAAACAGAAAAAAGAGGTCAAAGAAAACAGTTTCACTGATGGAATTTAAGTTCTTTTGCTATGTTTGTGCTGGTTTCTTCAAGGATTTTATTCAGTTTTTTTTTTTTTTTCACAAACCAGTTTATCTTAGTTTTAATTGGGGGAGGGAGAAAAAGATCTAGTTGAACTCTCTATTCTTTGAGTAACTAGTCATATCTTAATGCATATAAAAATATACAACAACAGAACATAAGGACACAGTGTGCCTTTTGGTGTAATAAAAACAGTAAATTCAGATTTTCTCAAAGTGCATTTGAGATTAGCATTACTGTCTTGAAGATGAATAAACACAAGTTATACTTGCTATTTTAACTGAGTTCCCAGAGACATGCGATGCTTTTCAAACACACACACACACACACACACACACAGAGAGAGAGAGAGAGAGAGAGAGAGAGAGAAGAGAGAGAGAGAGAGAGAGAGAGAGAGAGAGAGAGAGACCTATACACACTCACGGAATTAAAGAATAAAATATGTATTTAAGTTTGTGTGAGTGGGCAATTGATTTTTCACAGAGTGTTATATTGATACTCTTCATCCAATTTTCAGTACAAAAGAATTTTAGAATGGAGATTACTTTTAGACTTGCCAAAAGCACCTTTAAAATGAATACAAAATTTTCCTTTAGTCCTTTTCTCACTGTAAAGTATTAGGATGTATGTGGCTTTGTAAAGCCTCTCTCTGACTCCTATTCAAATTTTTCAAATGAATCCATATACTGAGTACAAATCTCTCTCTTCCTTTCTCTCTCTCTTTCTCTCTCTCTCCCTCCCTCTCTCTGTGCATGTTTGTATGAATCAGTATAGTTGAATCTTTGAGAGGTAAATTAATGTTTTCTTATAGAATGGATCATATTACAATGCTAGAAGCAGGGAAAAAAGAAAAAGAAAAAAAGAAAATGAGACAGCCATTTACTCAGAATGCAAAGCTACTGAATATAGTTGAGGGTGGGAATAGAACAAGTTAGCCAATGGCTCCACACTAACTGCCCACAACTCTAGTTGCCCTTCTTCATTTCAGCCATTCTCTCTTCTCTGAAGCCCTAGTCTCCAAAATCAAAAGGGAAATTTAACAGTTACAGTATGGGGGAGAATATTAATTTTCTAGTGGTGAACTTCAAGTCTTGCACAGATTTAAACCCCAGCTAACCCTCCCGACAAGGTTCTCTGATGTGTGAATGCAACCCAAAGAAGATGAGCACTTTGCTAATGACAGGGACAGAGCAATACTTAACAATACTCCTGCCTCCCAGCCCACCATGGCCGCATTCTAGGAGCATGCTAGTGAAAATTAAGCCAAAGTCTACCGAATCTGCTACTGACACAGAGGCTGGGAAAGATACTTACACCAAACTAGGAACTTTTTAAAGAGTTCAGTGCTGCCTGTGCAGAGGGGTCATCAGATGCTATGTAAAGTTCACCCTTGATCTTTTAAGAGGTAACGTTAGAAGTCTTTTTTGGCTGAAAACAGTCTCTTTCCAGATGGTGCCTTACACACCTAATGACTCTAAACAACCGGATCTGGGGTCCCTCGTGTGCTGCCCTTGTTTCATGTATACTTCAAACTCTTCAGATTGCTTGTAAATCTTTAGCTTCAAGTTGCACTTGATGTCACCGGGTTTTCTGGTTTCATTTAGATATGTACAGGGGGATTTGTTGTTCTAGGCTTTGAAGCTGAATGAGTGCAGTTTGACCTTCCACATCACGTAAAAACAGAACATCTGAAAGCCTAAGGCTCCTATAGGAGACATTCATAGAAGAAAAAAAAATCCTTTGTTTCTCCTCATGATTCATAATTTGATGCATAAACATTCTTTGACTATACCAAATTCATTTTTCCTGAAGACAGGCAGGTGGCTATGGTAAAGACATTAATGAATATCTTATGTACAGTACCAATGAATAAGTGGTTACACTTGTGATTTTCTATAGTGAAATATCTTTCAATCCAGGTCTATTAAACACTTGCTGTATGACAGATATTTTGGATTGATCCTGAACATTCAGTGTTGAAAAAGCATAAATGTCCATGTTCAATTTCCATAATTATCTCTCCCAAATCGCATCCTTATCAAAGGTACTGAAAATTTCTGGACTCTAGATTCTTCTTTATGTGTATGTACAAATTTATGTTTTTAACATGAGGTTTTTATGCGCATGCAATTTATATACAGAAAAGAGCACAAATCAAGAATACAACTTGGAGAATTTTTACCAAGTAAACATATCCATGAAGCAAGCAGCCAGTGCAAACAATAGAGCATTACAATCCAGTGGGATCTTGTTTTGTTTTCCCTTTATGAAGCTCCTTCTTAGCCTCCCAGTTAATCTTCTCAAAGACTTTTCCTGACTTCTGACATCATGTGTGAATTTTGCCTTGTTCTGAACTTCATAGATATGGAATCTACCATCATTTGCTCAATTTTATGCTTATATGATGTCTCTGAGTTGTTGCATATGTTTAGGTTGATATATTTTCCTTACTAGTCCAAGGCTAAATCGCATTATAATACATTTATCTAGTTTGTTGTTACATATTTGTAGAAAGTAGTCCTGATGTTGATATTTCCTAGTTGTGGCTATTAACATTCCTGCATGCATCTTCTGGTGAACATTTCTACTGGGAATACACTTTTGAGTGGTATTGTTAGGTCAAAAGTTACTCATGTATTCATCTGGGCTACATATCAACAAGTATTTTTTCTAAGTGTTTGGACTAAAGCTGTATGTGAAACCTGTCAGTCACTCCATGTTTTTGCCAAGCTCAGCATTATACATTCTTCATTTTCATGTTCAGTTTTAAGTAAAAAGTCAAAATTCAATAATCCCTGGGACTTTGTGTGAGCAATGAGACATCTTAAGTTTATAGCAAGCATTAATCACTTAGACTTTCATCTGTGCCCACCATTCAGGATGGCATCATATTGAATTACCTACCCTGTTGAGGTGATAATGAAATCGAAACCACTGTTTATGCTATTAAACTTGAAGATGTTTGCTTTACTTTGGGGTTGAGCTTTTGTTAAACCAGCAGTTGGCTGACAAGTTCCCACTCCTACCCACACAAAAGGTTCTCATGAGGAAAAGTAATATACATTTCCCTTGTTTGGATTTCAAAATGAAAAGGCTTTATCAAATCCTGTGGAATAAACATGCAGTTGGGTATGAGATGAGTTTCCATTTCAACTGTAAGGCTAAAAGTGACAAAATTGGGACAACTATAGGCCAATAAAAACCATTATGCTGGGCCCGTGGAATTGTAGGGAGATAAATGCAATATTGAAATTAGCTTGCTGATAATATTGTAAAGCCAGGAGGAAGTGTAAATATGGTCCAGGCCCACTGCTACTATAGAAAGGCTCAGCTGAAGGAAGGACTCTTACCCTGGGACCAAAGAAATGATCTAGCAGATAAAGGCGCTTGCTGTACAAACCTAGCAACTTGAGTTTGAACCCCCCAGAATACATATAAAAGCCAGCCACAGTAGGACATGTCAGTTATCTTAGGATTCTTGTGCTAAGATAGGAGGTGGACACAAGTATGGCCTGGAAGCTCAAGGAGCAGCTAGCCTTGAGTATCTAGACCAGTGACAAACAAGAGAGATCCTTCCTTAAGCAAGGAGGAAGATGAGGACCACTACCTAGGTTGTCCTCTGACCTCTGCACAATGCTGTCACACACAAACATGTATACACACACACACAGAGAGAAAGAGAGAGAGAGAGAGCATACATACACAATAAATATTTTTTAAAGAAACTTATTCTTAGAAAACTGTTGATGATTTCATTTTTCTTTTCAGTCTAAAGTTTACACACGCACACCAACCTTATATCTGGACTTCAAGTTGGACCAAGGAGCAAAGCATTCCCAGCCTATTCCTAAAGGTATGATGGGTTCTGGAATTTGGTAACCATGAAAAAAGAAAAAACAATCAAGTCAAAGCACAAGCAGCTACTTCCTTGGGAATGCAGACTTTTACATGATATTTGAGGATCTTCATGTTTAAATTAGCAAAGACTGCCTGTGAGTGCTCCCATAGAACAGGTGACAAATCCAAAAGCTTGATGCTTTTCCTGCATATTGTCTGACATACAATTAATTGATTATTTAAAACCACTTGTTTATTTGTAGTTTCAGTGATATTGGCTGTCTATATTCAAATGTACTAGGTATCAACTTATGCAGCTTGTAGTTTATTAGGAAGTTACGTATCTCTCTCTCCCCCCTCTCTCTTTTAATTGTCAAAATTATTCTAGGTCAAATTCTGTTACAGCTCCAAGAACTGACTAAATTCATTTTATTTGGATGCTTTATTACATCAAATATTTCTTGAAATGTGTGACCCATTAGCTGTGTCCCAGACATGTTTAGTTTATCATATTTGATGGTGTTGTTACTCATGGTAAAGTGATTTGATGTGGATGTCTGGGTTGTGTTTGGTTTTCTGGCATAAGCAGTCTAAATTACTGTTGACTTGGTTGTGTCATTACCAGACTAATTGGATAGAAATGGAAGCACACATTGCTACCATCCCAACTCTGATACAAAGAAAATGCCTGTGCCCCAAGTGAAATACAGTTAAGGGAAAGCATGGATACATTCTTCCTGAACCCTAACAGTTTTTATCTGAATTCTTTCCCAAAAATAGCATTAGAATCAATTTTTACCATCTCTTTCTTTCCTTTGGGCTAGGCACGTTTCAGATGGGTTCTGCTAATCTCGCAGAAAACAGATGTTTCATGCAGTTCTGATTTGGAAGACAGTTGATATCAGGAATTGAGCCTGATGATGCATCATTTACAAAGAATCCAATCTGTCCAGTTTCTGACAGTACTAGATTTCTTTTGCATTGGCCACACATTTTTCCCATTAGCTCTTGGCTAAAATAAGAATAGGAATATGTAGGGTCCATTTTTTTTTTTGCACTGTGACTTTTAGCATCTCTCCTAAATCTCTCCCAAGCAATATGATTTTTCTTGCTGTAAATTGATATGCTGACAGTATTGTTAGCATTCATCATGAAGGACATAAATTTTCAGTTCTAGGAAAATATCAATCTTTTCCAAGAAAATTATACCTTCTGATGGTCAGGACCCCTTTGTCTTCTGACTGTTTATTTTCTCCATCTTTCTGCATAGCATCTCTCCTTCATGGTTTGGAGTGTGAATTATGAAAAACTGTTAGGGCATGGGAAAGTTTTCATTCAGTGAACCTTTTCCTTCTTTTATAACTTTTCTTTATGGTGTAGATAAACTGATAACAAAACTACCTTCAGACAATGTATAGTTCCATTCCAGTAGGCAGAATAATGTCTCCCTCATTCGGAATGTTCGTGTACTAACTTCCAGAACCTGGAACTGTGTTATCATGAAGGGAATTTAGCAGCTATGTGTAGTGGAGCTCGTTTATAATTCCAGATTCTAGGAAGTGTAGGTAGATTAAAGGTCATCCTTGCATACATAGAAAAATTAGAGACCAATCTAGGCTACATGACTCCCTGTCTCAAAATGACAACAAAAAATATCATGCAGACCTGTAATCACGGTAGTCAAGAGGTAGACACAGTAACTGGAGGATTGGGAGTTTGAGGGCATCTCAGCTACATGGTGTTTGCAAGGCCAGCCTGAGCTACTTGAGACTCTGTCTAAAAGAAAGGAGGGGAGGGGGATTTGCAGCTTTGAGCAAATTAAGGCTCTTGAGATGGTTACTGAAGCCCTGGATTCTCCTCTTTCTTATCTTTTTTTTTCCTTGTTAGCTGCCATGGACCACAAAGCTAGCTCTGCCAGTAGTGTTTGTCATGTTGCCCTACCTCATATAAGCCAGGAGCAACATGAACTGAGACCTCTACACCATGAACCAAAGTCAACTCTCCTTTTTTAGCTGATTGCCTTAGGTACTGTCCCAGGAATGGAGCCCAACTAATGATTAATATATCAGGAAAGTCAGAGCAAGAGGAGCTATGACATAGAAGCAGGCTGACATCAGTATGATCCTTGCTGTGACAGAGGAAAACTAAGATTATCATATGAAACAATGTCAGTATAAATTGGCTTCTGTGCTTGCCTTGGAATGAAGCAAAAAGGAAAAGAGCCACCTCTTACCCATTCAATTTAAAAAGTGAATTTCAATATTTTATGCTAGTAAATCACAATAGTGTGTCTTTAGATAATTATTTTTAATGAAGCTAATTTGTTAGTATAAATTTTACTATTGTTAATTTTTTTGTTATTAAAACTTTCCTTTTAACATTTCCTAATATGTTATTTCAGAATGGAACACTCCATTTTTCCTCCAAAAGCGTAACTAAGGTTTGTGGCACAGAAACATTTGGCCACAGCATTTTGCTTATTTTATAATAGTGTTTGATGATAATGATACCATATACTATCAGTTGTTCAGGTAAGAGTATCAGATATTTCCTGCCCCAAGTCCATTGTAACTCAGTTCATTTTTCAAATTTCAGACATTGTGGTATTGAAAAATCTTACTAGAAATATTAAACATTAATACCTGTAAGGAGTAAGGTTTTTCCTTCCGCTGCTGCTCTGGTCCTGCCACCACGCCAGCCCCAATTAACACACTGAGACTCTGTATTTGATAAAATGCTGTTGGCCAGTTACTTGTTTCTTATCAGCTATCTCTGTCTTAATTATTAACACATTTCTGTTTATCTAATATTTCCACATGGTCTCAACTTACCGGGGAGTGGACCCAGACTTCTGTTCTCTCCAGACTTTCCATCTTGACTCTTCCTTACTACTTCCTCTTTCCTCCTTGTCTCCTAGTCCCACCTATCTTCCTTTCCTATTGGCCAACAGTGCTTTATTCATTAACCAGTATGCAAAACATATACAGAATGACATCTCCCATCAAATACCAGTCTATACAGTTTATCTTTAGGTTAATCTTATTGTACAAGTTACCTATGAAGCTGATTATCAAGCCAACCTGGAACTTAATGCTTTAAGACAATTTGTATTATCTCACACCATGGTTGTATCCTCTAACCCGGACATTTTATAATGCTACAACCAAGATGTCATCCAACATCTTTGTCATCCTTAGCTGCACTGGGAAGGAGAAACTTCCAAACTCACACTCATGTGATTGTTGGCAGGATTTCCTGTTCCTTGCCACATGGTCCTTGTCATTGGATAGCTAGCTCACATGTCTTCTGACTTCATCAAAGCATGCATGTGAGAGAGCAAAAGAGAACAATACCTGTCATTTTTTCTGTACTAACTGGAAGTAAGCTACCAGGCGCTGGTCACACTCAGAAAGATGGGTTTGGGTTGTTGTTATTCATATAACAGCAGAAGGCAGGGATCATAGGATCATCATATAGTTCACCACTGTGCTGGTTTGGTTTAACTGTCAACATGCAACAACCTGAAATCACCTGGGAATATAGAGGCTCAATAACAGATTTTCTAGATTGGTCTCATCTGTGGGCATGTCCATGAGGGATTGTCTTGATTGTTAACTGAAGTGAAAAAAAAATCCATCCTGAATGTGAGCAGCACCATTTCATGGGCTGGGCCATGAACTTTGTAAGAACAAAGAAAACTAGCTCAGAGCAAGCAAGCAGGCAGACAGGCAGGCGGACAGGCAGCATAAATGTATTCAGTTGTCTTTGGTCTTGACTGGATGTGATGAGACTAGGGATTTAAATTCTTGTCTTTCTAACATCCCTGAAATGATGGACTATAACCTGGAATTATAAGCCAAATAAACCTTTTCTTCTCCAAATTGCTTTTGGTTAGGATATTTAATCACAGCAACAGAAATGAAATTAGAAAAGTCATATACAGCTTCTGCTTCTGTGCAAAGTGTAAACCAGTTTTCATATGGTCAGTGGCTAAAACATGAGTAATGATTCCCACTCTCTCTATACTGAGGCCAGAACCCAGAACCCCATGGATGACAGACAAATGTTTTACCACCGAGCCGCACCCCCAGCTCATCATGATATTTTTAATGATTTGAAAAATCTTAGAGAAACACATGATGGGGGGGGGAATCTCACAGTTCTTGGCCTGTCTTCTTACAGTTAAGGAGGAACCCCAAACATGAATAATACGTGTAGAATTGTATATTAGAGGGAGTTGTTAAAGAGAAAGTGTGATTTATTTTTGTTATTGTTCACTGTTTCAGATACTCAGCTTGTCCTGTAGCATGTCTATAAGGATTGTCTTGTTTGTTAATTGAAGTGAATTAAGTATTCTAATGCACTGTTATTAAGTAGAGAGCTTGGCAAAGTGCTTAGTAGTAGTGCATTAGAATACTTGATCTTAGTTTCCCTCTAAGTTATGATCTACATTTAACAGTTATGGATATAAATCAATTAGTCTTCCAAGCACTGATAATCATGAATTTGAGACAGTTGTAAACTTAGCAAGAAATTTTATATTATTTTACTTTGGGGTGAGCTATATGTCCTTTTCATATTGATTTGTAGCAACTCTGTATGTTCTGAGTTCTAGTTGTCATCATTTGCATTATAATATCTCCTTTCCACCTCTCACTTTTCTGTGCTCTTAATGTACTGTAATAAATGAAAATTTTCTTAAGGTTACAAAGCTGCTCCTTAATGGTTAGTGTACTCTGTGGTTTCTTTAATCATTGTCCCCAAACCCAAGGTCATGGAAATATTCCCTAGGTTACCAAGTGTTTTGTTGCTTGTCTTTTGTGTTGGTGTGTTTACTTTTCTGGAATTAGTTTTCTTTTTAATTTTTTTCCTTTGCACTGGTGGGGTTGAAACCCAGAGACATATGTCTGCTATACCACTGAGCCACATCCCCAGCCCCTCTTTTTAAAATTACTTTCAATTGGTAAGTAAATTAGTATTATTTCTTCACTTGCAAAATGGTGTTTTAGAGTATAGATACATTGTAGATTGACTAAATCTAGATACCTAACATATTACCACCTTACACTGTTACTTTAATGATTTAAACACACATTTTTATTTTTAGACAGAATCTTACAATGTAACCCTGGCTATCATGGGACTTACTATGTAGACCAGGCTGGCCTCAAACTCAGAGAGGTTCACCTGCCTCTATCTCCCATTGCTGGGATTAAAGGCATACATTACCATACCTAGCATAGGATTTTTTGTTTTATTTCAATATATGAGTGTTTTGACTGTACATATGTATGAATGTATGTATGCATGTATACCACATGTGTACCTATTATCTGTGGACATCAGAAAAAAGCATTGGATCCCCTGAAATTGGAGCCACTTGGTGGGTGCTGGTAACTGAAACAGGGTTCTTCACAAGAGCAACAGTACTCTTAACCACTGAGCCATCTCATAGCCCTAAAGAGGACACTTTTTTTTTGAGAATTTACACTGTTAGTAATTTTAGTACCATATTATAAAAATAAATATCTTGAACTTGTACCATTGTACTGAAATTTTCTATCCTTCAATGGAATTATTATTAATGCATGGCTGTACAACTACATTTTGTAAAATATGGTGGTGTGTGCCTTTAATCCCAGCATTCAAGAGAGAGAAGCAGGAGAATTCTCTGAGGAGTGTGAAGTCAGCTAAGTTAGACAGTGAATTTGAATTTAGCCTGAGCTACTTAGTGAGGTTCTGTCTGAATAATAAAGGAAGCTGGAAATAGGCTTCTGATTCAGGCTCTTGGAGTCATGGCTGCTTTAGGGTCTGGGAAGCAGTGAAAGCCTAACTTTGGGGATGTGTGTAGTCTCTTCTTAACCCCATTGACTTTCTCTCTTTTCTTCTGTTAGGAATTTGGCGTGTCATCAGGCCATGTTTTTCTACTTCTACTGCATACATGCATGAGAGTAGCTGTAAATTCACTGGAATTATGAACTCTTAATGAAGACAGGAGAAAAATGATCTGGCTTAAGCCAAGGAATGTAGGCTGAGGAAATCTTTCACTAGGGCTATTTTTAAGAATCAGGAACCTCCCTGGAAATAGAGCAAATGCAACAGAAAATGATTTACATATTTAAAAGCCACGTTGTACATTTGTTTTACGTTTGGCTGAAGGACTTGTATGTGTGGCTGACTTAACTGTCCTAAGGGACTAGAAGAAATAATGATCTTCATCTCACCACATTTTATTTGTTATTTCCCAAGGGAAGGAAAGATCTTCCTGGCTGCAAAAGGACAGTAGGGTGACCGCCCTGTTTGAGGACACAAGGAAAATGTAGGCTGTGTGACTTCTGATAGAATGACAAAAACTTGAGGGTGGCATCAACTCCTAGTGCAGAACATAAAAGTGAGAGGAAAGTTGAAGTAAGTAAGAGTGACATGAAAATTACACAGGGGAGAGCCCTTGTCTGATGCAATCTTGCTTTTAGCAAGGAGGAATTTGAACAAAATATGTTTCTTCTTAAACACATAGATTGCATTCATTTCTTCTATTTGACACTTATTTTCCCTTTGGCAGCCTCAAGAAGCAGTGCTCCCTAGAAATGAAACAAAGTGTAATAGAATGTGTAGGTGGATATCTTACCACAAAGAAGACTGAAGGAAGATTGCTCCTTTGCTCCTGTCCCACTATCTCCAATGCCCCGTGCTTTCCACCCAGCTACATGAACTGTATACTGAACAGTGCTACACCATGTGTTCTAATAGATTACTTTCACAAGCAGCAAAGACAGGTGAATGAATATAGAACACTCCTTGAAGTACACACTTTCTCCTTCTGGGTTTTATCATAAAAGTATTTTCAAAGGAAAGAAAACGGACTCAAGTGACTACTGCAAACTAGGTGTCTGTTTGGAGAGTGAAGCAGTCAGTGAAGGAAAAAGGAGATGGGGAAAAGTTAAATGATCCAAAATAAAGACCTCAGCTGAGCAACTGAGAGTGAAGAGGTTTTGCCATTTCTAGAAATAACCAACTTTTAACTTCCTTGAAGGTGTGAAGGGAGGATTTATTCTATGAACAAGCCCTGCAGTCTTTCCTAAGGATGAATTACTGCTCCATGTTTTGTCATGGAAAGATGCTTTAAAGACATTGAGTTTTTTCTACTGTTGAAGCAAATAATATGAAGTACAAAAAAGAAAAAAAGTTCCCAAAGTACAAATACCAAATTGCTCACCATTTATGATGTAGTGGTTCTGAGAATTACAGAAAGATTTACAGTTTAAATGGCCCATGCTTCAGTATTTTTGAAATAACACGTTAATTTTTTTCTCAAAATAAAAGAAATAAAGCCATTTGCACGTAGAAAGAGAAATGTTAACCATTTTCAATCCAAACGTTTTGTTGTTGTTGTTTTGTTTTATGCTGAGAGAAAAGGGATTTGGTTGTAGAGTAGAATTCTAAATTAGACTAAATAGGAAGAGGAAAGTGGATCATCCCTTAGAGAGAGACAAGGGTGCTTGCAGAGCCAGGTTGTGTGCACAAGAATGGGGCTATAGATTATCAGCATGTGTTTTCAGCATCTACAAGGGACCTTCCATCCTCACATTGTCCCACTTGAATACCAGTGCCTGTACCCTCTTAATGCTTGTATTTGCACCCACAATATGTACCAATGATAGAGGTTCAATAAATAGTGGGAGGAAACAAGACACCATCACTCTCAAATGCTTTAGATTCATTCTTCTACAATCTCAGGAAAAGCCAGAAGGAGTGGCGTGTGTTTGAGATGCTAGCACTGGGGTGGCTGAGGCATACAGAACCTTGGGACTTATCTGTGAGCTCCAGGTCCCAGTGAGAGACCCAGTCTCAACAAGATGGATGGCTCCTAAGGTTGATCTCTGGCTTCTATGTGTATGTGCACACACATGCATCTTCACAGGTGTGTGCATCTGCACATGCACAAGCACACACACACACACACACACACACACACAAGAAAACTATAAAAATATTAAACTATGGAATAGAGAAGGAAAGGGTATCACTTTGCCTAACAAAGTATGTTTACTTAGCCATCATTCAAATTTTCTTAATGACTCAATTTATATTGAAGTGTGCCAGGCCATTTTCCTTTTGTGCCACTATTGTATTTCGGTCCATTTACCATCATAACCACACCCTGAGAGTCAATTTGTCCTCCCTGTTCCCTGCTTCACTTGACTTTGTCACCGTATCACCAATTCCCAAACAAACTCCCATCTGATGTCCACCATCCATCCATGAATGCCATTGCTTAATCTTTCCACGGAACGGATATAGAGTGATATTCTTATCTATTCTGAGTTTGCCATTTCTGGGATCATTTCTCTCAGTGGGAACACAGCATCCTTCTGAGCCATGGGGGCAATGCATAAATATATATGGAAATCAGTTGCTCCTGCTGAGTGTGTGAAGAATGGGCTGTCATACAGTATCCTTCTCTGAAAACTTGTGTGGACAATTCCAGGGAGCTCACAGGCTATCTGGAACATATTAATCACTAAAGATTTTAGATCCCCCTTTGTAGGGAGCCAGTGAAGTTCCGAGTACCTGTGTGTTGTTAACATGAGCACAACCACGATGAGGACTTCAATGCCTCAACATGGGAGCAGCCAAACCTTCCTTGGGTGAGGATCAGAGGGATGGCAAAGGGTTCCTCTGGTTCAAGTGTAAATATTAAGAGTTTGTGCAGAAAATGTCCAGCATAGCTTCTATCTCCCTCCTGGGCTGTTACCAATCTGAAGACTGCTTCCCTACAGAGACTGTACCTCCTGAGATTAGGTCATCCCTCCTCCTTGTTCAGCTATATGCCACATAAACCCTTGTCCAGCGGTATGCAATAGCAATGCTTCCCTGTTTAGCTCTATATAACATGCTAAGATTTTATACAGTTGTGTGTGTATATATATTATGCAGCTTCCCTGAGAGCCAAAACCACCCAAACCCAGATTGCCCCCCGTGTGTGTGTGTGTGTGTGTGTGTGTGTGTGTGTGTGTGTGTCTTCCTCCCTCTGTCAATGCCCCATTTAGGTCAATCTCTAGAGCCCTCCAGGATGTGGTACCTGTTACTGATCTGTGCACTCTTTTAGGATAAATAGAAAAAGGAGTATGTTCACTGGAAAGTAGTATTTGAGTAAATACAAAAATGCTCCTTGGTATCACTTCAGCCTACTTGGAAGTACAGCACACTGGACATGAAGCAAGACTGGAGCACTATAGCTTATAGCATGGCGATAGAGCTGTAAGAAACATTTATGGGCTGTCGGGTGGCACACAAATGAAAATAAAATAACTTGTTAATACAACTTTTGGCAGATAGATTTATTGCCCAAGTGGCTATAGAGTTTCTACTTTGGGTGGCCCTCAAATAGCAAGGACTCAAGTCCTTTAGGTATAGAAGTATGTTTTTTGTACATGCTTGTGTACATGTGTGTAAGAGAGAGAGGAGAAATAGCGCACACAACTAAAATCTTAAAGCATGAATCAAAAAGAAAATAAAATATTTCACCCTCACCTTTTCTTTTGTTACTATTATATGTTTATATCATGTATATAATATAATCAAAATGCATATAAAATAAATACACACACATATATAAATTGATATTATGCATGCTAATATTGTAATGTATCTGGTCCTTTTCTAGGATGGACAAGCTTCATTTATACCATCTCTGGAGATGTATATATTGGTAAGTAAAGGGTATACCATTTGGGATTCAATTGCACTTTCATTCAATCTACAGAAAGGATAAACTACCGAGAGTGTTGTGTGTAACTAAATCCTGTGCCTCCTTCCTTCTCACATCAGTCTGGAGCAGCATGCCTTACAGCTTCCAGAATGTTCAGTGACAGAGACCAGCATGAACAAAAGGGCTAGGCAAAAGGCACAAGAATGGTTATACATGTTAAATCTGAAGGGTTAGCAGTTTCCATACCCATAAAGAGGTTGAGCTCCACTGAGAGATGCTGTCTGCCTACCCCTCTGGAGGTAGAAGAAAATGAGTTAGATATTCCAGGTACCTCACAATTTCTTTTCCTTCTAAGGGTTGTATGTTGTACATTGTTGTTTGTTGAGAACAAACTGTCACTTTATTCATGAGCAGTGGAATATCTAAAAGAAGTTATTTATGCCAAGGTTTCACATCTGTACACCTGTTACAAGAACTGGGCTATGGTGGTGTGAAAGAGAATGGCCCCTATAGGCTGTCATTTTAATTCTTGGTCCCCAGTTGGTGGTGCTATTTGGGGATGTTTAGGAGGTGTGGCCTTGTTGAGGAAGTATGTTGCTGGAAGTAGGCTTTGAAAGTTTAAAGATTCTTGCTGTTGCTAGCACCTACTTTTTGCCTCCTGCTCACTGTTCAAGTTAAAAGCTCTAAGCTTGTAGCTTCAGTCACCTTGCTCTGCCTGCTGCTGTATTTTCCCACCAGAACCTAGTCTTGTCCCTAAGGAACCATAAGCCAAATAAACACTTCCTTCTTTGAGTTTCCTTTGTCATGATTTTTAATCACAGCAATAGAAAAGTAACTAATTCATAAGGGTGTTTCAATTCCAGTCTCCATGTCCTATGTGCACTTTGTTCAGTTATAATGTAGCGATCAAACCAGCTTGTGTTTTCAAACCTAGCCAACACAGAAGCTGAAGCGGCAGAACCCAGGTGAGAGGAGAAAGGCATACAGAGCAGGTTGCCTTTTTTGTGTGTCCACCCCAGCCATTCCCATCTTCCTGGAAGCAGGAAAAATCTCTTTGTGGGGATGGCAGCAAATGGCTGAGTGACAGCATATGCCGTGAATGGCCCACCTAAATCCTACAGGACCTGGCTTACTCAGTACCTGGTGACCAACTTCAAACTGTCACTATCTATGCCACATTTTCTGAAACTTGGAAAGACTTCTCTGCCCTAATCAGGAAAGACAAGAGAGCTGGAGAATTAACCTTCTGGAAGTTAGCTGACCCCTCAGATAGGCTATCTCAGAGCCCATGCCTGAGCCCATGCAGTTATGTTTCAAGGCTTTCACAGTGGGAGTGCATGAGCAGGTGCCTGTCTTTCCTTGCTGTGGTGGTTTGGATGAGAATGGCCCCCATCCTATCTTTTAATACTTGGTCCCGATTGGTAGAGCTGTTCAGGAAGGATCGAGGAGTCGCAGCTTTTGTTGGAGGAGGTGTGTCACTGGGTGGGGGGGGGATGAGCTTTGATGTTTCAAAAGACTTATGCCATTCCCAGTGTACCCTCTCTACCTTCTGCTTATGAGTCATGATGTGAACTCATAGCTGTTCTTAATGCCATGCTGTCATTCCATCATCATGGACTTTAACCCTCTGAAACCAATCAAACTTCTTTTATAAGTTGTCTTGGTCATGACTTTTTTTTTTCTCAGCAATAGAAAGGTAAGTACTCAACTTCCTTTTTCTGAATAATTCTGCTCATATCTGGACTGCTGTTCCCTCGTGCATTGTCTCCTGAATCAGCTCCTTACACAAGAATATTCATTTCAGATATGCTTCAGGAAGAAGCTTTAGTAAGAGACTCAGTCACTGACTTCTCCCTCCTCATCTCCATCCACAGTGGTCAGTGACATCCAAGATTCCCCATTTCTGAGACCTGCTCTCTACCATACTCCTGTGGGGGATGTCAGCAGACAACTTCCTACTTGGGCAATACATTCTCAGTTTATAGTGAACATCCTTGTTGGGCAATATATTCTCAATTTACAGACAGACAGCTTGCTAATGACATCTGCACAGGTTTTGATGCCACACCCAGGGTGATTTATTTAAACCATTCTTTACAGCCACCAAAAATATGGCATTCAATCACTTGACTCTTCTGGAAATAATAGTAATTAGAATTTATTTGTAATGTGGCATAATTGGGCTTGGTGCCTCTTTCACTGAATAGCATTTTAATTATAAGCCCAAAACCAAATTCACTTATTTTATCATTCAAGAGAGGAAAGATTCAACTTGGAAAGAACAAAACCAACAAAAATCCTCCAGCAGTAGTGCAGGAAGCTTCTGTGTGTGCACAGTGAAATGTGTTAACCATCTGGGAGGAATGAGGCACCATTAACTTTTTTGATATTCTGTGAATAATATAGTACTTTATAAATAGGGAAACTCTGTTTTGGAGGCCTCACCTTGATATGATTTTAAGATAAAAAGTAATTTGTGCAAATGGAATATAGTTTTAAAAAAGCACAAGAATTTGCACAAGAGGAATTTATTTTTTGAAAATTCAGGGGGAAGAATTTTAAAGTGCTAAGGTTTCTAGAAATGTTGATGTAGAACAAGAAAAAGTAATAAGGACCAAACTTTATGGAAAGGGCCAGAGAGCAAATATTTTTATCTTTTGGACTACTATGCCCTGTCCATGTATTACGAAAACAGCTGTACATAAATAAATGAGGTGCATATTATAATCCAAGTTTTTCATGTATCCTGAACTACTATTTTTAATTCTTTGCAACTTGTTTTTTTCTTAAGGTAAAGACCTTTCTTAGTATCTTGACTCGGCAAAAGCTCACAAATGATTCTGTCTTAAATGGCATTAAAGAGAGGATGAATGGTAGAAAGACTGACAAGTGATCTGCCAAGCCTCTTTCAACCAGGAATTACAGCCTCTTTTAACAAGATATACCTTTAGCCTTAAGAGTTAATAAATGAATGGTTCAGAAATTCCAGGCTAAGAGGGACTGACACTTCCACTTGTTTATACTGACCTGAGGTCGAATTGTCCTGAGTCATTTCTTCTCGCTGACTTATTCTACACCCCGCCCCCTAAACCTATGACCATGGACCACATGTACAAAACATCTGGAAGAAAATAGAATTATGGTCTCTTGCCGCTGAGTGAAGTTGTGTATGTCCAAAGTAAACTGGACCATGGACAGAATCCAGCTCCCCAAACTGGCCTCTTAGGAATGTTTTAACCAATGAGCAACAGGCCAAATGACATCATTTGAATCCAGTCTCCTTGCTTTGCTCCCATCTACCCCTTCATGAGGTTGCTAATGAGAAAAACAAAAGGGCAACAACACATCACCAGAGAGAAAGAAATGACAAAACAGAACTAGCTGTTAAACTATTCTCACTTAAAAAGTTTGGAGTGAGAATCTAGGAAATGTTTCCCAATGTTAGTACCTCATTTTTATCTTGCTTATAAACATGAATGGTACCCCCTCAACAAAAGATGGCAGGAATTGGTAGTAAGTCTTTCTCTTTTAGACAATGTCAAATGGCCTTATGTAGCTCAATATGATAAGATCTTTAAAAATATGTATGTTGTGTTGTGTGTGTGGTGTGGTACATGTGGTGTAAATGTTAATGTGGATGTGTGCACCTGTGTGTAGGTTCACATGGAGGTCGACTTCAAGTTGCTTTCTAAGTTACCTCCCTCCCCCCACCCACTTTATTTTTTCTGACAGAGTCTCTCATTAAACCTGAATTTCACAGTTTCAGCTACCCAGTTCTGACATTCTCAGCCTCTGGCTTTCTCACCATCTTCAATGATTAGTGATGAGGATAGTGCTGGGCATCCTATTTCAAATTCTCAGAACACACCTAAAATGCTGAACATGGGATTACATATCTGTGACCTCACTGTTAGGAGGAGGGGCAGAAGTGATCAATGGGGCTTGCTGGCCATGTGATTCAGTGAGAGACCCTCTCTCAAGAGAATATTGTAGAGCAAATTAATAGAATACAATGAAAAATGTGATAATTCTATGACTAAGTCAAATGATTTGTAAAGTTAATTGCTGGAGAATATGACAAATCAGTAAGAGATTAGGGGAACTAATAATCTGGACTGATTTAGGTGGTGACTTATGGGTAGTCAATTAAAAAAAAAAAAGACAGGAGACAGAAGAGATGAGTCACTAGGCAAATTGATTACTGTTTAAGAATGATTATCTGAGTTCAGATTCCTAGCACCCAGAAAAAGAAAGTTGGGGATGGTGGTAGTAAGCACCTGTAAAATTAGTGCTGTATTGGGGAAGACAGGAGGGTTCCTGGGGCTTGTTAGCCAACCATTCTAAACCAATCAATGAGCTCGAGGTTCAGTGAGAGACCCTGTCTCAAAGCATAAGGTGGAAAGCAATTGAGGAAGATACCCAATGCCAACCTCTAGCCAGACTACCATACACGCACACACACGCACACACACACACACACACACACACACACACACACACACACACACATGCATACACGCATGCATGCAGAAACCTATATACATGGAGAAATATTTGATAAAGAAGTAACTAAAATGAAAATCAATACCTCAATCTAGCTTTCAAATACCTCACTTATATTTATCAAAACTTGTAAATTAATGTACATTTACATTTTAAAATAAGGTGCTGCAGGCAGTTTCTTTTTCAATTAGTGGTTTCTGTTGTGTCAGATAAAAGAGCTTCTGCTATACAGATATATTTGGTGATGTTGAAATCTGTGATGGAAGTTACCAGAATGTGTGGGACAGAGTGTGAGACACTAGTTCTTATAAAAAGAAGACAATGAAAACAGGAAGCTCACACTCTGGAGCTGGTCTCCAACATTAAAAAACATATTTTAAAATAGTTTGCCCTTTTATGATTGTTTAGGCAAAAAAGTACCCTACAATTATATTTTTGGTTAAATTTTCCTTAACTGCATTATTCGATTTAACATTCTTGGCAAAGTCTTCCAATGGAAAGTATTTTATTATATGACTTGACTCATTTTATAATTATAAGTAGTCAGAAATAATAGGCTGTATTTTGAAGTAACTTATTTTAGGTTCAGGAGATATCAGATGGCTGAAATATCGTAGAAATGATATGGAAAGTAAGATGCAGTTGGTTTGATTTCTGTGGCACTGTTTTGAAGACTTTGAGTACGAGACTAGAAATTCATGATATATTGAAAATTATCAGCCTGGAAATGACTCTGTGTCAATAAGAAACGCATTCATTGGGGTAGAGCATTTCAGATGGCCCCTTCTGTACAGACAACACAATTCCACTTATACATCCATAGGGAGCATAGAAAGCACTGGCCCCTGACATTGAGTCAGTATTAGGGGCCTTTTGGACATGCTGAGCTCTGCTTCTAAATTAAGATTTCCACACAGGTCAATCAACCCTGCTGTCAAGCACACTACGCTGGCTGATATAGGGTGCTGAGAAATACCAATTCAGCAGTATTTTTGAGTGCTGTCTCTTGTCAGCTCACTCTATTAAGACATTAAGTATCACAACATACTGTATGACAAAATCAGGGTCCAGGAGTGGACCACATGGGTACTGGGTGTTACATATGAATTAGTTGAAGAGAGAAAAATGGTTTATTGTCTGCAGAGGATGTCAGTAAAGCACACCTAATAAAATGCCATTCCCTGTCACAGTTTAAAATATTACCCAGCTCTAAATGACATTCCTCTTGGACTCCCAGACTTTTCTTGCCAAATATCTGTGTAAGTGGAAAGTCAATTGAGTTTTATTATTCATTCCATGACATTTGCTGACATATACTTTTGATGAATGGATGTTATGTTTGGGGGTGGCTCTTGCTAACATGCAGAGGGTGATTATGCCTGAGCTCATGCTGAATCTTTGGAATTGGCAAAGGTTGAATGGTTTTCACCAGAGAAGTTGTTATACACCAAATTGGGTTTATTCTTCAGCCACCATGGTCCTCCAAATCCTGTGATTAAACATATTTTTAATTTTTTTCTGTTGTGAACTTTTCTTTTACATCTGCTAAGCACCCCTCAGACCATTTTTTTAAAACTCGGTGACATTAAAGTGTTAAAGATGCAGTTTATGCAGAAACAGATACCCACAGATAAACACTGAGCTGAACTTCGGGAATCCAGTTGCAGAGAGGGAGGAGTGATAAGAAAATGGGGGCAAGACCAGGCTACAGAAACCCACAGAGACAGCTGACCTGAATAATGGGGAGCTAATGGATCCCCAGACTGATAGCTGGGAAACCAGCATTGGACCGACTCAGACCCCCGAACATGCATCTCAGTTAGAAGGCCTGGGCAGTCTAAGGGACCTTGGACAGTGGAACCAGGATGTATCCCTGGTGCACAAAAGGACTTTGGGAGCACATTCCCCATGGAGGGATACTCCCTTAACCTAGAGGCAGGAGGGAGGGCCTAGTCCCTACTCCAAATGACTTGACACCCCTGTGGAGTGGGGAGGATGAGATGGGAGGGGGATTGGGGGTCATTGGAGGGAGGGAGAGGGAACTGGGATCAATATATAAAATAAGAAAAAAAATTTAAAAAAAGAATTTCAGAAAAGCTAAAAAAAAAAGATTCAGTTTATGATACAACTATACCTTTGCTTCTCTGCTGGCATTTGAAATTTTGTGATTTAGTTGCATGTCTGCTCTTAATTATATGTGACAGCTAGCATAAACTATGTTTTGAGATATGCATCACACTGTGAAATGGTATAAAACTATCTGCGACTTCTCTTGGAGACAGAGCTGTCAATACAGCAAATACTGCAGTGGTTTCTTTGCTACTTTTATGACTGAAGAAAAGCTGCATTTCAGTTAGCTGGTGGAGAAACTGCGTATGGAACTTGTCTCCCTCCCATCCAAGGCTACACGCAGTCCTAGCTGCGGACTTCATGGGACACTATTCCAGGATAAGAACTCTTGTTCTGTTAAAATCCTATTTCATGTTTGTCAGCAACAGTGTAAACCATATGCCCCCTATAGAATAGATCCCCTGTCTACAAAATATAGGCTGAAAGATGACTTCTCTAGAAAACATAGCTGATTGGATGATAGTAAGCCCTGGATTTACAAATTGTGATTCTATTCTTATAATAATTCGCCAAGTTGCAGGGCACTGATGGTGCACGCTTTTAATCATAGCACTCAGGAGGCAGAGGCAGGTGAATCTCTGTGAGTTCGAGGCCAGCGTGGTCTACAGAGCTAGTTCTAGGACAGGTCCCAGGTCCCAGGTCCCAAAGCAACAGAGAAACAGAGAAACCCTGTCTCATGAAAACAAAAATCACCAGGTTATTCCAAGTTATTGAAGTTATTGTTTTATTTAGATAATGACTTCCTTAGTAATTGTTAGGTTTTAACTTGAAGTTTTGTTTTTCTTGCTTTTTGTGTGTGAGGTGTATATATGTAGTTCATATGCCTGTGCATCTGTGGATATCAGAAGAGGACCTGCCCTGTCACTCCCCACCCTATTCCCTTAACACAAGGTCATTTACTGCCTGGCTTTTTGTGTGAATGATAGGGGTTTGAACTCAAATCCTCATGCTTGTGCAGGAAGTGCCTAAGATCTGAGATCTTCCTTCTGTTAGCTGTTCACTTGACTGTTGTTTTTATACCCATCTGAAAGACCCAGCCTAAATCTTGCCCTACATTACAGCTTCCAGTAGCTAATGTAGCCCACCCTGACCTCTCCATTGTCTTGAGCCCTCTTGCAGAACTGCTGCTTCAGTCCTAAGGTCTCCATATGCTTCTTTCTCTACTCCTTTCCTCCCTCCTTCCTTCTTCCAAATGCTCTTTCTCTTTTCACTTTAGCCCATTCAGAGAACGCCCAACAGGTTTTCCCAAGCTCAGGCTTGACCTCCATTTCCTTTTATGTTATCCTTCCAAAATTATTTCTGCAAGACACAGATCTGATCATTTCTCCCACACCCTGTGTGTGTGTGTGTTTATGTGTTTCTGTCTTTCCTGTCTCTCTTTGTGTCTCTGCCCTTCTCTCTATTTCTCTCTCTCTTCCCCCCTCTCTATGTGTAGCTCATTCACTCACTTTGGATGGATAACAATGATTTTTAAGGGTTTCCTTGATACGTTTTCATCCTCCTTTCCCATAGAATGTTAAAGTTATAACAGGAGGTTCACAGTTTCCCCAGAAATTTTCACCCACTACCTGTGACATTCTGTCCTCTTGTCTACAGTACCATCTTCCAAGCTCTGTTTCTTGCAGATCTGTGCTATCTTGCACACAGAACAGCTCTGTTCAAGTTTTACTTACTCACTCTAAAACAAAACTTTGGTTATTTCAACCTGAATTCACCCCCAAGACTTCTGTTTTCTCAGTGAGCTTTTTTTGTTACCTTTAAATGTTAACTAGCTTTATTTCACCTGCAAGCCTTACTATCCTGAAGACACCTACCCCTAGAAGGTTAGAAGAAACCCCCTCCAGAAGGTTTAGAATCAGACCTTGTTTATTATTTGATAAGGTGCTGACTCATTTAGTTCTCAGTTGAGTTCTTCTCTTATAATTGCATGTGCTTATATTTGGTTCATCCCAAGAACATTTGGAATTACTTAGATGCATGGAATCTACTTTGCACATCTTTGCTTTTTTTTCTCTAGTTCTTGAAAGTTGGAAATGCTCAGCAAATTGTTGTTGAAATGAATTATTGATGACATTTGATCAATTTTTTAAGGACTGCTTGCTTCTTATGAGGTTTGTATTTTACACAAGAGAACACTTCTATGAACATGTAATTCCAATGCCTTTTAAAAGTCAATGAAACCTGAGTGATGGTGGTGCATGCTTTTAATCTCAGCACTCAGGAGGTAGAGGCAGGCAGATCTCTGTCAGTTCAAGGCCATCCTGATCTACTGATTGAATTCCAGGACAAACAGGGATATACAGAGAAACCTTGTCTCAAAAAAAAAAAAAAAAAAAAAAAAAAAAAAAAAAACCAAAAAGACGTCAGTGAAACCATTTTGTCATGGCATTACGAGTAACATGATGCAGGATTCACTTCCACTTCCATGCTATTTTCTACATTGAATACCAATCAACTTTAGCCTTTAGTAATAGCAAATGTAAACAACCTAGAAATCCAGGAAGATTTCCTAAGCCTGTTATTTCTGAAACTAAAACTGTTATGGTGCTAAGTGTGGTATTTGAATAGATATAACAATTGCTAAAGTTACTGGGTTCATCTTTTATTATAGGGCCTGATCATGATCAACAAAAGATAGAACCCCATCACACAGCAGTGCTTGGAGAAGGTGACAGTGTCCAGGTGGAAAATAAGGTATTTTAAACTTTTAATTTTCTTTTTTTCTTTCTTCCTGTGTGTGTGTGTGGGGGGCTTATAAATGTAGGTGATCATACCCAGGCACACATATGCAGAGGCCAAGGCCAAGGGAGGATGTTGAATGTCCAGTTCTATCACTTTCTACCTTATTGCTTTGAGACAATTGAGACTGGGTCTTTCTCAACCTGAAACCACTATTTCATCTAGGGTTCCTGGCTGTTCTGCACATACAGCAGCCCTGAGGATTATGGGTATGTGTGTGATCACACATATATTTTTTTTATGGGTGACTGGGATTTGAACTCAGATCCTCATAGTTGAAGAGCAAGTATTCTTACCAACTGAGCCATTACCCCAGCCCCAAACATTTAATTTTCTTTTTAAAAATTTAGAGTTGTATAAACTCATGTTTTGATCAAATCTATTTCCTTTTTCCCCTTTCAATTTCTCTCCCTCACTATTCCTTTCCTATATTCCTTTATGGACTGTCTGTTTTTAACCCACCAAGTCCACCTCGTGTGCTGCCTTTATGTGCATCGGTACAGGACATCTGGAGCATGGGTAACTTTTTAGGGGTTGCATCCCTGAAGTAAACTAACTCTCCTATCCCCAGTAACCAATAGCTCTTTGAGTAGGGATGGGACTTCATGCCCTCCTCATCAACTATGATGGAATTTTGTCTAGCTTGATCTTGTGTAGGTCTTATGCACAGAGTTTCAGCTACTTTGAATTCATATGTAGAGTGGCTTGTCATGTCCAGAAAATAGTTTCACTACAGACATCCACTGCCTCTGCCTCTTACAATCTTCCCCTTTAATTTTCTTAGCTTGTACATTATACTAATACTAATGTCCATGAAGATGCTTAAATCTCTCATACAGTTTAAAATCTTTTCCCTTCCCTGGGAAATAAATTCTGCCACTATTTTATCAAGCCCCCCCCCCTTTTTTTTTTACTAATGTCTGTTGGTTACCTTGCTCTATTTTGAGGTTTCTATTGGTATATTTCAAATTTTCATCTATATTGATTTCTAGCTTTCAGCAATCATGTCAGTCTGTATTGCTTCTCATCTATATAGCTTAACCCTGAACATCTGAATCTAGAGGCCATGCATCTTCATTGCTTTTTAATATTACTCTGTCACAAACTGCTTTGTTTTTCATTTTAGCACAAGTAGAACTGGGCTAGTCCTCTGGGAGTATAAATACTGCATGCTCATAAAGAGCCTTTCAGAGTCATTCCCCACTTGGAGCTAAGAAGAGCCCGTGATGTGTTTCAGGGTTCTTTTACAGTTAAGTTTGAGGGCTCTTGGGAGGCTTCTCAGTTCTTTCTCATGGATGTTATGTCCCATTGAGCAACTGACTCATCATTCAGTGAGCCCATTAGGCCAATCTGATGGCTTTGTGTCACTGCCCTCAGGAAGATTCATTGTGCACAAGCTCTTGGACAATTTCATTTTGGAAAGCAGGAAGAACTATGTGGGTGGCAGCTGACCAATGGAGAGTCTGTCTGACTCTCTTCTCACTCTCTGACCCTGCTATCATAGAATGCAGTGCACTGGGGGTGATGTTCTATTTCAACCCAGTTTACTATAGCTCACTTTCTGCTGCCTTGATAAGCAGCAGCACTGCTATGAATGAGAAACTGAACAAAACACAATTTCAGGAACATCAGAAAAATGCACATCTCAGTGTCTGTGCCCTCTGGTTTTATGTCAAACCATATGAAACAGCTGTGTTTAACCTTAAAAACAAAAACAAACAAACAAACAAAAAACCCAAAGCAAAAACAAAACAAAAAACAAGCAACTTCACATATCTCAACCCAATCTAGAGGAGAGGCATGGAAATTTTTCACAGCCCAGAACTTGTTGATATTTTAGTTTCTAGTGGGATCTGAATTCATTTGGCAACCTCATTTCTTCCTATCACATCACAGAAAACACACAGCAGGTAAGGATTTAGACGCTAAAACTGACAGAAGTGGTTGGGGAACCTGCAAGTCAAAAGATAGCAGGGTTAGACAAAAGTAAGTATAAGTGGTATCCCTGACACAAGGGCCATTCTGTTACTGTTATATGCAGTTCCATCATTGTTCATGTGTGCATGGCATCAAGATAATGTTAGAACGAAAAAAAATGGTATTTGAAAGAATTTTCATTTAAAGAGATTGCATGTCTGTAGGAAAGTCAGAAGTCCCTGTTACAAAAGGGTAGAGGCTGTGAAGGTTTGGTTCTTGGCTTTACTATTTGTTAGCTATGAGACTGTGGACATGTTTCTATATTTCTTTGTGCTTCAGTATTGTTCATTGTTTTGACATTTATTATTTATTGGTATGGATGTGTACATGGCACAGCGTACATGTGAGTTCCAGAGGATAACTTTCAGTTACTAGTTCTTTTCTTCCAACATCTGGTTCCTTGGCATCAAACTTGGCTCATCCAGGTTGGTAGCAAATACTTTTATCCACTGAGCTGTCTCACTGGCCCAGGCTTCATTTTATTTGTCTGCAAAATTGAAATGATTGAAGCCAACTGTGTAGGATTATTAAAATTTATTGGGATTACCTATGCCAATGTTGCTTCCAGATCTAGCACAGAGGTCAGTAAATGGTGCCAAATATGCCAGGCCCAAATGCATTTGTTTGTGTTTTATTGGTCCCCTGTCACTTCCATGGTATTGACCATGGATTCTTACACTGTGTAGGTAGACGTTGGTTATGGCAGAGATTGCATGACTCACAAAGCCTAAAGCTTCCTGGCCCTTTACGGAGAAAGTTTGTCTGTCCTTGATGCAGCACATTGTAGGTCCCCAATAACAATAAGGAGCAATGTAACTGCTGACAGCACCCAATTTAAGAGATTCACATGTGGGTTATCTAATAAGGATGTAGATGACAGGCTCAAGGGCACCACAGTTTTCACCTCTAGAAAATGTCCTGAGGGATGCTGACCAATAGTAGTCTTTGTAGTAGGGTTATTTATGCCGTGTGACCTTTTCTTCCACTGAGGATTCTGACAAGAAGGAAAATGCACTGCAGTGTGGTCTAGCATGAGGAACTGACAGCACCTCCCTTTCTTCTTGCAGTTTCAGTTCATCTTTCCCCCATGTCCTCTACTGCCATGCCCATTTCCTTTGGTGACTCAAGTATGGGCCACTCCTCTAGAGTGCTCAATCTGTAGGGCAGGAGATGGAGGTAAAAAAAAAAAAAAAAAAAAAAAAGGTGATGCACAAAACCCACACCTCAGTTTTCTTTGTGCCATCTTACCATTTAATTGATGGATCTCAGGCTACCACATATTAGCCCATGACAACCCAGCCTTCCTTTCTCAGTGGGTAGAGTGCCTTTTCCTATTATTTCTTTTTCTTTTTTTATTCTGGGGATGCAAACTCCAGCTTTCATGTTTGTGCGACAAGTGCTCTAACCATTGAGCTATCTCCCTAGCCTGTTCTATATTCTTAAGTCTGTTATAACACCTAACAATGGCAGTGGCCTTGATTTATAACAGGCTCAAAAATCTTTGGGACAGACCCTTTGACTTCATGGACAAAGCCCAAAGCATAAGGACTTTGTAAAGAATTCAAATATTTCAAAATTCTTGGAGAATGGAACTGACCTCAAGGTATTCTGGACATGTAATCCTGAACTAGTTAAGGTCACCCTGAAGTTGTCTCTGTTTCAAAAAGCTCCCCATCTGAGTTTGGCCTGCAACTGGTGTGCTGGATTTTCTTCTGAGTGCCGGTTGCTCTAGTGGACCCATGGTCAGAAGCATATGGGTGCACTAAGAAATATCCCATTGAATCTTTAGACCCATTTTATACCAGAGTCCTACAAGAGTAGTAAATGTACTGAGGTAGACAAACACTGACTGTCATGGAAATAATGGTTGAGGACAATCATGCTCTTAAATTGTCGGCTTCCATGGATATGTCATTCAAATGACTTGATTAAATTATCCATTGAAATACAGAAATGAGACAAAACACTCTGTGAAAGTTAATGGCAGTGATTTGCTTTTGTCTGTGAGTTCATGTTGAAAAGACCTGCTAGTTTTGTTTTGTTTTTTTTTTTTTAAACCGATAACAGTTCACTGCTTCATCTTTCCATTGACGCCCTAGGTATAGACAGTGAAGTTTAGAAAGAACAACTGCATGCAATTAAATCATGCTGAAGTTCAATTTCTTTCTGGTAATTTTTCCAGGTAATTCATCACAGTAGTAAATGCTGTTATAGTAAAAAAGCATGCTGTACCTTCATGCCCACATTTCTGCTCTTATTGCAAGCTTTGTATTTATAATCAATTTAACTGAGTTAGAAACTCATAATTTAGAAGTTATCAACACATTATGTGACCCCTGAACATTTCCTTTTGGTTTTAATCATATATTTATGCTCTCCAGTAAATGCAACATATGTCCTGGCAATAACAGTTACAGAGTATCAAAAACAATCTACCTAGTTTGTTTTATTTAGCTAGTGATTAGTGAGTGTGTTTGGGTGGGCACACATGCATGCACCATGGTACATGTATGGAGGTCAAAGGACAACTCTTGGGAGTTAGTTCTTTCCTTCCACCATGTGGATCTCAGAAATAGAACTTGGGTTGTCAGGCTTGGTCACCGGTAGTACCTTTACCTGTTGTCCATCTTGCTGGCTCCAAGGGCAAGTTTTGAAAGTTGGTATTAAGTAAGATGCAAAAGAGTTAACAGGGAACCAAGAGCTCTAGAAGACACACCAAAGAAAAGGACATGAGATGGACACTCAAAGGTCCTGCCTTGGCATTGGAGTCATTCTACATGAAACAGTCATCTGGGCCTCTAGGACCCTTGTATGAGGATTTTTAAAATCAGTGTTCATAAAGGCATTGGCATAGAGACACCCAAGGACTGTCTTACAGTTTTTTCATCCTATTTGCTTTAACATGATTTCATCCTTTCACACTACGAACAATTTCTACATGAACTTTGAACTACGTTAACATGCTACTAAACAGCTAT